GGCTGAGTTTGACTTGGCTGGGTAACATTATTCTTCTTGACTGAAGAAATGGATGCCAGAGGGGCTAAGACCAGAAGCAGTTCTCACCTAAGAGAGCTTTATTCCCCAGAGTTCAGACCCCACAGTTACACAGCCGTTCCCTGGTATCCGTAGGGAGTAGTTTCCAGGACCCCCAAGGAGAAGCCCACGAGAGCTCTAGTCTCGTATGTAAGATGGTGTATACATGCCTCCTGTATGCTTTATTTAATTTTTTAAAAAGATTTATTTATTTATTTATACAAGCACTGGCTACAGTCAGAAGCGCGGGAGGGTGAGAGAATTCACCAGAGCCAGAGCGGGGAGCAGAGCAGGCAGAAGGACCGAAGTACACTGCTGAGGGGAGCAGCGGGCGGCAGGGGAGGTCTGCGCGCCATGTGGGACCCTCCTCCGGTGGCCGGGGAGCAGCCGGGGATCGAACCGGCTCTGCGAAGGCTTCGGGCAGCTTTGCAACCCAGTGCTCAACTGCTGCGCCACCGGGGAGGATCCCCTCCTGTATGCTTTAGATCATCTCAAGGCTGCCGCTCATCCCAAACACAATGCAAACACTGGGTAAAAAGCTGTACTATGTTACTTAGGGAATAATGACAAGAAAAATAAGTCTGTCCATGTTCAGTCCCGACTCAACCATGGTCAGCCTGACTACATCATGCATTTTCCATCCGCAGTTGGTTCAACCCTCAGATGTGGAACCTATAGACCCAGGTTCTTTATGCATAAAGAAATAAAGAAATTGTCTGCATAAAGAAATTGTCTCCTGCACATCACCCACTTGTAAGACTCATCTCAACTGGTCTCTCTGTGTAGTCCTCCCAGCTTCCCCTGGGCTCCTGCTGTGCCCTGGGCCTGCTGTCTCCATATGAGCATGCTGGAGTTGAAAGCTCAGTGATTGCATTTCCAGAACCATCCATGCACCAGAAATAAATAGGACTGTGTCCGATTTGCTTTGGTATCCATCTTAGCAGAGCTGTGAGTGGTTGCCAGTGCTGAGTGAATTCCAGAGCACTGTTGCTTTCTGAATCCAGGAATGGCAGAAATAGGTCTCTAGAAGGACATTAAAACCCCCATGGCACAAGAATATGGAGGAGATAATGGTGGTGTGTGCTTCATCCTACAAGGGAAGCCCCGAAAGCCCTGGACTCTGTGGGGTAAGAATCAGGGCTGCAGAGCCAGAGGCGTTCCGTCTCCTTTCCTACAGGAAGCTCCCTCCTCTGGGGATTAACAAGGACACTCCCTATTCTACACCAGTGGTTCTCAGAGTGATCCCCAGATCAGCAACACAGCATCCTTTAGGACCTTATTAGAAATTCAGTTTTTTTAATGCATACAAGCACTGGGACACAGGCCAGAGGTGGGGAGGGGGCAAGAGGACTCATCAGCGATAGAGTGGGGAACAGAACAGGCAGACTGACTGAAATACACTGCAAAGGGGAGCAGAGGGCGAGGCAGGGGAGGTCTGCTGCGCCATTTGGGTAGCTCCCTGGCCGGGGATTGAACTTGTGCTGCAGTGGCTGCAGATAGCTTCATAGGTTGCATCCTAACCCTTTGTGCCACCGGAGAGGCCCAGAAATTCTAATTTTTGACCCCACCCCAATCCTACTAGATCAGAGACTCCTGGGAGGGCAGGGTGGGCCCAACCAGCTGTGCTTTAACCAGCCCTCCATGTGATTCTGATGCTCACTTAAGTTTGAGAACCACCTTCTGGGTACGCTCAAATGCCTGTGAAAGAAGCCTTAGAAATACAATCCAGATTGATTTAAAATTAAGATTAAATGAGAACTCAAGCCAGTGCCCTCGCTATAAAATGCCCAAGATCAATGAAACACCCCACTATTCTCCACAAAACCCTTCAACAGGCAATTAAATGAACTCAGCACATTTATTTTAAATGTGCAAAATGAATTTTCATATCCGAAGAGTAACACCAGATGTTTTACCTCTTTTTCCTAATTGATTTTCCAGCCTACAGCAATTCATCTTTATACTTTCCAGTCGGATCCTAATGCAGCAAGAAGAGTGTGTTCCGGCAGGATTATTAAATGCCATGCATTTTAAAACAAGCATAACTCAGGCTGCCATGCGTCATCTGGGTTTGTTGTCTTCCCAAAATAAAAAATTTAAAAAACCAGACAGCTAGGGGTGCCCAGCAGATGTGAGGGGGGGGGGGGAGACCTAGCAAAGGCCCTTTCAGCGCTGAGTCTCCAGGCTCTTGGCGGGGTACACTCAACCCCAGCTTGAGCTCTTCTCCAGATCCTGCACTCCCTGGCACCAGAGGATTTGCTGACTGTAAAACCTGCAAATCAACATTTCATTTTTCAATGGGAAGTTTTGTCTTTAAAACAAAGAAGAAAAGTTGTAGGCTCTGGGGATGTAGGTGAGTGGGGCCGAGGGCTGGGGAAGGGGTGAGGCAGTTGCTCAGAGAAGCAGCCCCTGCCTGGAGAGGCCCCCCAGCTCCCCTTGGTTGGCCACTGGGCCTGCTCAGCAGAAGGCTCTGTAACTGCGGATTGAAGTGGGTGAAAGGTCACCACCCAAAGTTTTCCTCTTTCAACATAAGCCCTTGGGAGTCTGGGGAAAGACACGGGAACAGAAGGTCAAGCTTTAGAGCCAATGACTTTAGAAGGGGGCATCTCTGTCTCTGCCCCTGGTGTGTGTGTGGAGGGGGTAGGGCAAGGGAGGGGGCGCAACTATTGCCAAAAACCCCAGAAAGTGCTGACTGCACAAAGGAAAAACCGAGCTTCTTAGGTGACTGGGAGAGGCAGGCCCTTCACTGCCTTCCTGAGAGCAGCTGCGAATCAGCAAGTCTGAGCCATTAGGCCTGCAGCAGATTTTAACAAGATCTGCAGAACAAAACCGCCTCTCTGGTTCTGAGGCCACAGCAGTTGCCTCTGTGTCTGAAATTAGAGCAGCTCAACCTCAAAAAGTGGCCAGTCCAACTTCAAACAACACTCCAGCCAGTTCTATCCACAATGTGGCCATTCTCAGGACTGAGGACAGAACATTCTAGGTTCTATACACACATTTCAGTTAAAGTTGGACAACAGAAGAATCAGTTCCTAAATTCGGTCCTCCCCCAGTCCCACCCCAGAGCTCCAGCCCCAAAAATAACCACCACCCAAAGCTCATGAGGTTCAAAGTAACCTGTTGACCATGTGCAGGGACCCCAAGAACCAGGCTCCTAGAGAGAGCCTGGCCTCAAACTGGTTATCAGCCACAAAATGTTATTATCTAATTGTAAAAAGCACAACTGACACCGTTCAAGGACGACAATGTAAGGCCTCGGGACCGGAGGTATACCAGTGTTGTCGAGACCTGCAGAACAGAGCATGTTAGGTCAAAGGTGTTGGCACTGGGTGCCTGGGAATTCACCCACGGTCCTCTGGGGCTGGGACAGCAGTGCCACCGTCTCCCATGGCCACCCAACCCCCACACCCCCAAAGGGATGTCATTCGCACTGCAAGCATTAGAAGGGGACATGGAGGTGGTGGCGAGAAAAGAAGGACCTGCCCTAGCAGAATTCTTCCCTTGCCCCCAATTCACAAGGATATTTTTACACACGAACCACAGGAGCCATTGTATAAATGTCATCATCATAATCTTTTAATATTTTACATAAAAAAACTGTATACACAGCTTATAGAACTTTTATGTAAACATCATAAACTCACCACTTTGTCATTTGTCAGTTTATTTAAAAAATGAAAAAACAAGACAACAGTTTAGTAGAAGTACCACTGGGCGGGGTAGGGAGGGGGCGAAAGGTGAGACCAGGCAGGTTCATTCTCTGTACAGAGATGCAGAGAAAACTTCACATAGCTTTAGAGACTGCCTTGTGAAAACAAGAGTTTTAAACAGGCCCTAATACTTGCTACTGCCCTTTATCAAAATAGTGCGCATACCTGCACAAATAAAATCGCAAAAAAAACCAACAAAACAGTGTTGCCACTTTTTTCAAGAAAACAAAAACAAAAATTAGTGGTTTCTTTTTCCTCTCCTTGTTTTTTTAAAAGTCATCATCATTTTTTTAAAAAACATCAGAAGTAGATGAGGTTACAGCGTACAAGTGTCATCAGAATGCTACCGTCGTATGCAAATGACAAGTGCATTAAGTGTCAAACAATGAACAGTTGTGCAAAGAATTCCTCCCAAAAAAAAAAAGAAGTTTTAGCCTTTAAATAAATCAAATAACATCAGTTTCTTGGACTAAACAATTTTCACTTGTAGGACAGGCACAGAGTTCGCTTATGGCAAAAACCTCCCGCGGCACAGGCGCCCTCTCCGGCCTGGCAGGTGAGGGGTTCCCCAGGAGTCTGGAAGCTGCGTCCTCTCAGCCCCAAGTCAGTCGCAAGGTTCTTCCCCAGGGGTTTGGAAAGCCGGCCGAGTCCTGGTCACGCGTGGGCGGGCGCCTGACCCGGGCCGGGCGGGCGGGGGCTGTTCCGGCGCCCTGTCGCTCCACCCACCACCACCATTAAATAACACCATCCTACCTCCGAAAATAAAATTATATCTATATTTATACAACACCCCCTCCTCCCCAGCCCTCCCAGCTCCCGCGGTCTATGTTACAGACAAGGAAGAGCAGGCGCTCGCTGCTCGGGGGCGCACCTCTGATGGGGCGCGGCCGCACCCGGGCGCCAAGCTCCTCTCTGGGGACCAGCGGCGGGGGCGGGGCGCAGACGGGCAGGCAGTGCGGGGGAGTCGAACACACACACAACCACGCACCCTGAAGAGGCGCGGCTCTCCAGGGAAGGGTGCTCAGGGGGCCCTTGGCACGCAGCGGGGCGCCGGGCCTGTGGCACCACCCAGCCGGGCGCACGCGGACACTGGAAGGGGCACCCGGTGCCTCCCACGCCGCCTCCCAGCGCCCGAGCCGCGGTGCGCGCGCCGAGGGCGGCCCGGTGGGGTCCTGGGGGGCGCGGGCGCCCCCTCCCCGGGCTGGCGGGGGCCGGCCCGGGCGGGGGGCCGCGCCGGCAGGGGCAGGCGGGCCGCGCGGCCCTCATAGCACCTTGCAGCAGTTGATGCAGCCGTTCTGGGAGCCGTACCGCTTCTGCAGCGCGGCGCGCGTGGCCGTCTCGAAGACCTCGCGCACGCCCTCCTTGGTCTTGGCGGAGCACTCGAGGTAGTCGTAGGCTTGGATGCGCACGGCCATGGCGCGGCCGTCGTCGGTGCGCACGGGCTCCTGCTTCATGCGGGCCAGCTCGGTGCGGACGTGCTCGTCGCTGCGCAGGTCCTTCTTGTTGGCCACCAGGATGATGGGCACGTTGGGGCAGAAGTGCTTGACCTCGGGCACCCACTTCTCGGGGATGTTCTCCAGCGAATCCGGGCTGTCCACCGAGAAGCACATGAGGATCACGTCGGTGTCCGGGTAGGACAGGGGCCGCAGGCGGTCGTAGTCCTCCTGGCCCGCCGTGTCCCACAGCGCCAGCTCCACCTGCTTGCCGTCCACCTCGATGTCGGCCACATAGTTCTCGAACACGGTGGGCACGTACACCTCGGGGAACTCGTCCTTGCTGAACACGATCAGCAGGCACGTCTTGCCGCACGCGCCGTCGCCCACCACCACCAGCTTCTTGCGGATGGCCGCCATGCGCGCGCCGGGCCCGCGCCGCCGGGGGGCCCCGCGGACGCCTCGCCGCCGCCCCGCTCGCCGCTCAGCGCCGGCCGCTCGCCTCGGGGCGCTCGCCGGGGGCCGCCCGCCTCGGGCCTCGCCGCGGGGCGCGGAGCCGCGGGCTGCAGCCGGGCCCCGCGGGGGCGCGCGCTCTCGGGGCGCTCGGGCCGCCGCGGCGGGGGCGCCCGGGCATAGGCGCGCGGGCCGCTCCTGTCGCCGCGGCCGGGGCCGGGGCCGGGGTCGGGCCGGCGCCTTTGTGCACTCGCCGGGCCGGGCGGGGACGCGGCCGGGCCCCTCCCGCTCGCCTGGGCTGGCCGGGGCGCGCGGACGCGGACTGCGGTGGCAGATGCGGGCTGCGGCCCCAGCGCCCGCTATTTAAAGAGTCCGGCCACTTTCTTAATATAGCCGGCCAATGGGGAGCGAGCCGGCTGAGCTCATCGCTGCGGAGCTCGGCGCTGATTGGCCGGCGGCGGCGGCGGGGCGGGGCGCGGCGTTGATGGACGGCCCGGGCCGCGGGGCTGGGAGAGGCGGCGCCTGGGGAGTCTGCGCCGGCCGCGCGGGGCCGAGCGGCGCCGGGTGTCCCTGCTCGGCCGCGGCCCGCGCGCTCGGGCCGGGCGGGATCGGCTGCGTGGAGCGCGGGGGGCCTGGGCCGGCGGGTCTGGGGTGGGGAGCGGCGCCTTGGGGGGCTGCTGGGGACCCCTCCCTCTCCGAACTGCCCGGCCTCCTGCCAGACGCCCAGCGGGTGGCCGACCTGCGGGCGCGGGGCGGCGCCTCCAACTTGGGTTTATTTTTAAATAAACAGACGCACATGTTTGTTTCCAAGCCTGGGGGTTTGGTTCTGTTTTCTCTGTTCTTCTAGAACCGGCCCCTCCCCGGCTGGCCGGCCCCCCATCCCCCACCCCGACTTGCCCCAGGGCTGCCCCGGGTTCGGTTCTCCAGGGGGCCGGGCTGGGGCGCCCGCCGGCTCCCTCAAGCCCCGGGGCCGCGCCTTCCCGCTCCGGGACGGTTAGGGGCCGCGTGGGCCACCGAGCAGGTTCCTATGATTGGAGCAGACGGTAAAGGGGAGTCCTGAGCCCTCCGTGGCTTCCTCAGGCTGTTGCTGCGCTTTTAATACAGAGCTGCAACCAGGGACAGGCAGGCGGGGGGCCGGCAGGCCTCCAAGCACCCCCAGGTCTTCGCTCTGGGCTTCTCTGGCCTTCTTTCTCCCCTTCTCTCTCTCACCTGCCTCTCCTACTTCTGCTTCTCTTGGCAAATATCCCAGTACTGCAGGTATGGCCCACAGAAGCTAACAACACAACTTACAACAACGTAACAAATGCAGGTGCCCCATCAGGCAGGGCAAGCCTAATGGCAGGAGGGCAGAAAAGCCTGAAAATCATTTATCCTACGGAGGGACCGTGAAAGGGAAGGCCGAGGCTAACCCGTGAACTTCACATCCGCTTGCAGCGAGTTACCGGGCAGAAGGCAGCTTAGGCCCTGGTGGGGTGATTCCTGCGGGTCCGAGCAGTGAGGCCGAGGACAGGCTCTGTGGCCAGTACCAGCTGCAGCCCACACCCCGTTGGTCAGGTGAGGGGCCTGCAGACAGGGACCAGGAAGCCAGTGTCTGGCGGGGCTAGGTCCCTGGTCACCTGCTGTGCACCAGGATTTAATCTACCTAACTGGTGGCTCCTGCAGGAGATGAAACCTCCCTCTGACCTGGAAGGACCTCCATCAACTGACTCCAATGGGCAAAAGAGGTAAGAGGGAGGGGAGGCCAGGAAGGTAAGGGAAAGAGTTTGAACAAAGTGAGAGGTGGCAGTGAAGAGAACATAGCCCAGCAACTGGGAGAGGCCCGGTGAGCCTGCCTGATGGCTCTGGTTAGGCCCAATCTTGAAGGGTCAGGTACCAGCAGCACAGGTAAGCCGGCCCCTTGTAAGGGCGTGGGCTGCTCACTGGTTTTCAGCAAAGAGGAGACCCACCTCCCCCTGAGGCGGTCACCCCCTCATCAGTCTGCCTTTCTAAGACAACCCTGTCACAGGGCCAAAATTTCGTCTGACCTCAGCATTTGAAGCCTTAACACCATAGCTGACTAGTAAGTGGCTGCAGGGAATTAACCTGAATGCTCAGGAACCCTGGTTGTATTCTCTGGGGGTCCCTTACCTCAACCCCAGACTCTGCTTTAACAATCATCCAACCAAACCAACACAGCCAACTGTTTTCGCATGGAGTTGGTATGTGGAGATACCATCTCTGTGGACACCGCAGGTCCAGTCAGGTCCGGCAGGTATCAGCGGGCTTAGCCTGGAGTGCCTGCCCTATAGGACGTCTCTTACAAAGCTCTCACTGGATTAGCCCCATGACAACGTCTAACTTTTTGGTTTGGGATTTGTTTTTCTGATCTAAGGAATGAAACTGTCAACAAGTAAATAATTTTTCCACAAGGGCATCCCGGGAAAGAAAGTACGTATTTTCTGGTCACTGGTTTAGACCTCCAATTTGAAAATGTTTTCCTTTTTTTTTTTTTTTCAGTCTGCATATTAGAAAAGTCATACCTAAATGTTTATTTTTCTTCTTTTAGCCAAAACTATAGGTGTATTTTTACTCGCTTTCCTTGGTCTTACAGAGCTTGGGAATCTTGGCTATGTTCTTAAGCGTCAAATATTAAAAAGATATCAGGCAAGTAAAACTTTGTACCATATATTTTTGAAAGAAAAAAAGACTAAAATAGAAAGATTTGAGAAAATTGTTCAGTTCACTCATCTCCTGATTCCCAGGTTTATTACCTGAGGTGTTGCAAGCTTGAATTTCAATATCACAAGTAATTTCTGAGAATGTCCAGTTGGTAAATGTGTCAAAGTAAACAAATAGGAAAAATCCACGTTTGGGAGCAACTTCTTTTCATGGCATTCACTTTTTTTATCCAAGGTGCATTGACAGGCTCCGTGGAGACTGGCTACTGCAGACGGCATCACTGCAGGATTAACTTCTCCAAAGTGGGTGAGGTACCTGTCTCCTCCCTGCCTCCACTCACTCTTTGCTGTGCACCCCCACTGGAAGGCAAGACCAAAATCGATTGTCTATGAGAACAAATCATTTTAATGTTCAGTTTATAAACTTAAAGTTAAGTTTATTAACATACTGATTTGTGTACGGCAGATACCCACACCAGGGAGAGGGGAAAGATCCTCAGACAGAAGGGATTGTTAATCTGTCTCCAGTCTTCTGTTTGATTTATCTGTTTTGCTTTTTGTTTTGTCCACTGGCCCACAGCACCCCTGTAAATCACCTCTCAACTCCTCCAAGTCCAGAGGCGGGGGTGTTCATTAGATTTTAGTGCCACCTTGTGGCAATATTTGCAGATTTCTTTTTCTAAAAAATATATATATATATCACAATAAATACAATAAATACTACACTTTCTATAGCATATCTTATATATTTTATGTTGTATCAAAAAGTATTTAATAATATATTTATATAAAATTGTTTATCTGATCATTAAAATCTTAGCTAGTCAAAAAGTATGCATTTTATGATGATTTTTAAGATCTTTCACAAGATGTAAAACCCTAAATGTTTCACAGTAGGTTCTTTAGAAATTCTTCGCATACATACTTATATATAACTTTTTTTCATATATACACTAAAAAAACTAATTCCTCTCTAGTTAAATAGTAACTTCTAAAAAGAAATTAGAGCAGGGAAAGGCTTGGGAACCCCAGCACTTTACATAACAATGGGCCTCCTTTTTCCCTAATTATGTACAGAAATGTAAAACAACTTTCACCACAAAAGCCATGTATTTCTCCCCAGTGAAAAAAAAACATTATTAAAAGTAATAATCATTTATTTACTAATAAACATTTACTGGGAGCCACTAATGCCATAGACATTCTTCAGAGCGATTTGATTTCTTTTTCTAGTTTAAAGAGAAGCTTAAACTGTGTTAAATAGTAATCCAACCATAATTTTAAAACTCTAATTGACTCTATTATATGATTCATGAATTGGGCAGTATCCCATCTAGCAGACAGAAAGGTGCAGCAAGAACTTGTACAAAATGGAAGATTCTGTTGTCAGAAAGAGGGTGGGACAAGGTTATTTGCAAAAAACAAAACAAAAGGATTATTTTAGGCAAAGGCACCTTCTCTGAGGGTGAGGCAGGGAGTTTTATGCAGAGGACCTCACTAGTGCTGACCAGGAAGCTCCATATTGATCGGTACAAATTCTACTTTCGGGGCCAGCTGAACCCGTAGTTGGGTTGGGTGTCAAGTCTTGGTGGGGCTTGGCATGAGGGACTCCATTTTGGACCTGTTGTTTCATATGAGCCCCGGAAAGACTTTTAATCTTCCTAGGGGCGGAGGGTAGAATTTTATTTGTCCTGTTAACCTAAAAATTCAGGACACCAATAAAAGGGCAAGACATGTTTATTTGGGATCAAAGATTTGCAACTCAGGGTTCATGGCTTCAGGTAGAAAACCTAAAACAGAGACGTACAAAGTCAGGGATTTGAATGGGAAAAAAGAAATATAAGGCAAGTGATTAGAGAGTTGATTATTGTTAACAAGCTTAAATTATTCTTGGCTATAAAAATTGGTTACTGATTGTCTTGAAAGGATGCAGAGGAACTGACTAATTCTATCCTGATAAAAGTCCATTGTCATCAGTTCCCATGATCTGGATAACTTCTGAGACAATCGTTTGTTTTGGTAGTTTCTTATTTCTTACAACAATTGCTGTTTGTCCCAGTCCAAAGATTTTTAGTCCTTTCAAATGAGACAGGCAATGAGTTTCTCTGTAATGATTGACCAGCTTCATTTTCTTTTCACTTCTGGTTGACTTTTTGTTTATTTATTTATTTATTTATTTATTTATTTATTTAAAGATTTATTTATTTATACAAGCACTGGGTACAGTCAGAAGCGCTGGAGGGTGAGAGAATCCACCAGAGCCAGAGCGGGGAGCAGAGCAGGCAGAAGGACTGAAGTACACTGCTGAGGGGAGCAGCGGGTGGCAGGA